TCTTTGATCTTGGAGGACTTGTACAAATCAAAGTATAATAAATCCTTACAGTTAGTGACTCAAAGTGATACTCAGACTAAAGATGTCTTCTGACAAGAGTCCTTGGCCTATTGGATATACAGACCTTCCACAAGACTTGATGTCAGAGCTAGCTATGGGCAGGCTTGGGAAAAGGCAAACTGTGATCAGGACTTTCATGGCTGCTCTGTGCCCCATTTCCCACCAAGTGTCAGGGATCCCCAAATTTTAGTTGTCATTTATTGAGAATTTATTATGTGCTACATGTCATTATATATGTTATTTTTGATCTCTACAGCAACTTGCAGGATCATTACTTTATTTCTTTTGCACAGAAAAAGAGACTTGATGAATCCAAATACGCCTTCTAAGGGGCAGAGCTGGTTTTCAAACTTGGGTCTGACTTTGAAGCCCACCCCCCCTTCCCCAAACCCATGACATCATTATGTCTCACAAAGCCCGAGGCTTCCCTGTGGAGTTCACACCCAAACTTGTTCTTCCTGTTTTGACTCTTTCCAGATTCCCCTCCTGGATCTTTGACTTGGGACACTAATCTGAATATAGGCCATATTGAATGAATGGTTGGTTTGTTTGTGTCAGTTTCAGTGCGGGGGAGGGCGAGGATATGGGAAGCATGTAGGGTCCCACTTTATTAGCTTTTGTTATTGGAATTCTATTTACTTTTTGGAAATGATACTTTCACCCTGAGGAGTTGTTACAGGATAAATCTCGAGCAGCCTGGCATATTGTTGATCAGGCAGACAACACGACTGCCAATTTGGCCTGCTGTTAAGATTAGCCATTTGTGTTGTGAAAACTCCTGTTAGCTTCTTGGAGATACAAAGCATGTGAGAAGAAATTGTCTTTATTTTGCTTTGTGAATATCTGCCATTTGATTTTTTCACTTTACAACATAAACTGACATCTCTTGGGCTTATAACAGAATTTTTCCATTACGAGTAAGTCCCCCAAAACACACTTGGTTGGGAGAGTGGCCCAGTGATGTGTCGAAAATCACTAGAAATCAATTTCCATTAAAGACTCAGCTCTGAAATTTACTATGTAACTTAGGGCAAGCCACTTAACCTCGAAGACTTCAAATATAAAATGGCCATCATAAGGATCAAATGAGATCTAATGTTTACAAAAAAAGGCTTTACAAATTGTTAAGAATTACAATATAAGGTCCCTTCTGCTCATCATTTTTAATTCAATTCATTTCTTCCCGAGCAGAAACCTCTAAATCTATGGCATTGACATGCATCTTCATATGTGATCTATCCTTTTGACTCTTCCCTAAAAAGGGAGAACTAATACTTCTTGGATTCTCCTTGTAATTTACCTCTGCTCTGCCAACAATCAATATATCATGAGCTTCAAACATTCTCTCCTCAGCTTTCCTACACCTTACTAAATAACAGTTCCTCAAGTGACTAGGTAGTGAGGGTATTTATATCAAATCCTTACCCCCCCCCAAAAAAAAAAAAGTTGCTCTTTTTGGAATTTTTCCCCTCTTCAATCAGTTAGTAGTTTATCTTTTATAATCATTGATTACTACTTCTAGGCTGTGTACTTGACACAGAGGCAGGGAGAAATAACCATAAGAGGACTGATAAATGAAGAAACCTCTCTGTTCCTTTCTTCCCATTTGCTGTTCAGGTGGGGTAACAGGTACCTCTCAAGCTCATTAATCAGATTTTTTTTTCTATCTGTGAAAAGTACCGTAGTGCCCCCTGCAGGTTACATGAGTTTCTCCTCCCACAATATTGTTTACATATTTTTTCTTAACCCTCTCCTGAAGCTGCTGGTGCCTGAGTGTTTTTCAATCAAACTGGATTCCAGGAAGACTGCTCATTTGTGGTATTCTCCAGTGTGTTCTTATCTAATGCGGATGTTTGAAGAAAATCACTCTAATGTGGTGATTTGAATCTTGTTTGCAATTTGAGGGTAAGAATTGATCCCACGTATTTGGCTTAACAGTAACTATGAGACCATTGACAAACATGTACAGGTGAGAAATCTGAGGTCTAAAATGGCCAACTAATTTTAAGATTCTAAAACCATCTTGTGGTAGGTGCAGAAACAGCATTAAGGTTTCCCAGCACCTACTCAAACATTCTTTTCTTTACCTTGTTTTGACTAGTTTCTTTTCCATATTTTCCAAGGCTTCTGTTTTGTTCTCCAGTTATGTATCTTAAAAACCTACCCCCAATAAAAGCTACTAATGTCATCCTTTTGGCTTCAGTAGGTAATTGATGAATTAGATCTTCCAGTGTGTGACAAAGATCTGCTTAGTGATACTGATCCAATTTGTAACCACATCCTGGTGCCAGTTGCAAATCTTTTAGAGGTCAAAGGTATAATTTAGTGAGAATTAGAAAGTGCCATAAACATGGGAGAGGGCTCTTTACTTGATTGACTTGAAAGTGGCCCAAAGCAAAGCACACTACCCTCTAATGAGCCTTGAGGTGGAAAGGCAGAAGTTGTGGGGGTTTTCTAAGTTTTATGATCTGGAAATTCTTTAACACCTTTGAACCTTTCATTTCCTGAAATGTCATTCATTCATCCCAAAATTATTAATTGACTTTATCAACCCTGACTTCATCTTGCTTATTTCAAAATGCAGAATGTCCAATGACTCAGATAGTTTTTTCATCCAAGAATTGGGAGTTTATGAAAATCTATTTTGAAACTACTTAGAGATTTGGAGCACAATTTTGAAGGAACCAAACCAATATGGAATTTTTATATAAATCCTTGGAAAAAAATTAAAATCCTGAGATATAGTTATGTCCCATAGATCAAAATTAAAGGCATGCATATTGTAGTTAGCTACAATTTCTGAGAAGCTAAACTTAAGAAGATGTTTTGAAACTACTAACAAGTGGCAAGTCCTTGCACTACAAATCTATTTGTTCTGTTTAGAATTTCCTCCTGTTACGTGATTTTAAACTACTTAACAGTCTTTAATTGACATTTTATTCACTATTTCACTTGTTTCAAGTCTTTCATACACAAGCTTTCCCAATTACAACTTGTGCATGAAGAATTACCTTAGCCTGAATTCGAAATGGCCAAATACTTTGATGTAATTTCTACTTGAATTTGTGATATTGAAGCTAGAACAGCATTTTTCAACTATCAATTATGGCCCTTCTGTAGGTCATGAAACCAATTTTGTTGATTGTGACCAGCATCAAAAAGGAAAAGAGAAAAAAAGGAAAGAAATTGAGTGCAAGTTTTGTTATGCGAAACTCCTTAGTTATGTGTGCATTTAGAATGTCGTGCAAATTGAATTTCTCAAATGAATTGTAGTCAAAATGAAAAACACTATTCTAGACAGCAGTGGATAAGACAAAGAACCTCTTCCTTCCTGCCTGTGCAAATCATTCTGTGCCTTGGTTTTCTTCTGTGTGTATGATAACTTTCAAAATAGGGTTGTTGTAAGAATTAAGTGAAAAAATAAGTTGCTGCGTGCTATCTGATATAGTTCTAATGAACCTAGTGTTGTTATTTTAGTGGGAGTATAATGAGAATTATTTGAAATCATTTGAAATAATAGATCAAAGTACTGACACTTATCCCTTAAATCAAGTTCCCTCTTTGCAAACTTCCACCTCTTAAGCATATAGCCCCTGGGAAGGAGAAGCTGGGCATTCCCAAGATTAGAACAAAGATGCCATTGATCAGTTTTGAATCTCAAAAGCTGGCCCCTTTGACTTCTTTTCCAAGACAATAGTCATGAAATTTGGGTTATAAGAAAGAAAAGGATTTTCTAAATTCCTTTATTTCTTCTTTAACTATTGAGAAGCTGGTCAGACAAACAATACTGGAGAGGCATAAAAGACAGCAAGTGCAGGGAAAGTTGGGAAATTCCTCTCAGTTCCCACTGGAGTCTGGGTGGAAAACAGAGGTAGGCGAGCTTCTATTTCTCCAGCCCCCGGTGGGAAGGTTGGTTGAGTGGAAGAGAAGTGTAGAGATGTTCTGGAGAAGATGAAGGGACTGTTGAAGGGAAAGGTCTTCTGCCTCTCCAAGGAGACTTTATAAGTTATCTCTCTAAAGATTTTTTTTTTCTTAAAGAAAGATCTGAATTGATGTGCCTCTGAGCCTCTGAGTCTTGCTTAGCTCTTACATAGGGCATTAGCTATCCAGAAGTCCTCAGTGACTGTGGAATGAAGGATCTGGCTGGAAGTAGATGAAGAATGCACCTGGTAACTTTGCCATTAGCTGTAGTCTAAAGGGAATAGAGAAAGTCTCTGTAGACAAAGGTCTAGTTGAGAATTTCAGTCATGTGTTAGGGAATACATTATTGTTAGCAAAAGTAAAGATAGGGGCCACACAGCACGGGGAGATGGCCAGAGCCCTGTCAAAGTTCAGTGAACAAAGTGAGTGTATCTTAAAGGCAGACTCCAGAAGGCCCAGGGAGGAACAAGTCACTCCTGAGATTTATCAACTCTGGGCCTAGGCCAGGCCAGGCCAGGCCAGCTTAGAGCTCATCTCATGGCCTCCAGGACTCTGCCTCCCCTAGGGTACATAATAAGAATTTAGCCTCTTTACTTTTTCCTGTAAATTCCCTCTGGGTGGCTAAAAGCAGGATTAAGGACATGGCATCTGCCTCCATTTTGTATCCATATTCTTTGCTCTCAGTCACCCTGGATTCCAGGAACCAGGCCTGATCTCATAAACATCTTGTGATGAGTCGAAGTTACCCTCCAGGCAATAGCAACTTTCTTATCAGGGACAAGGCAGCCTGACCAATCCTGAGATAAAGATGGGCCGAACACAACACATTAAGATCACCAGCTTTGGCAGCTATGCAATCCCTCTGGCCAGGCTAACACCCGCCACCACTACCATTGCTCCCATTTCTCTTTCTAAAAAACCTCAAAGTCATTGTTGGTCCCTTAAAGATACAGCTAAGGACACAGGTCCCCTTCCTGGTACAGCTACACTGATTCAGATTTCTTTCCTGTTTTCCACAGTTTCCTTTTCTGTGGGGTTTTTGGGGCAAGTGGCCAGACCTGATTTGTTGGATCCCCAGAGTCAGGCCTCAGGCCTAGGATTCTGGTAAGTGTTACACATGCCTCAATCATCCACTTAAATCTAGGTGATGGGAGCGGAGGGACAGAAACCTGATAAATTTTTTTTTTTTGACTCATCAAAGCAGAAAATATGTTGCATAAAATAAGAATGAATCAATAATTTAACCGAAATAACTTCTGTGCTACTTGGTGGGTGTGGGGTTGTGAGGAATAAGCTCTATCAGTTAAAAAGAAATAAACTCCATGTCTTTGTACACCTGAGCAAGGTGTGACTATATTTATGATACTTATAATTTGCCTCAATCTTCATTCATATCATGAAGTATTTTGAGTAATAACATTTTGTTTTGGTTTTGTGCTGAGGATTGAACTCAGGGACACTTTACTATTGAGCTATATCCCCAGCCTGTTTTTTTGTTTTGTTTTGTTTTTTAATTCTGAGAGGGGTCTCACCAAATTGCTGAGGGTGACCTTAAACCTGAAATCTTCCTTCCTCAGCCTCTGGTGTCACTGGGATTACAAAAGTGTGCCACCTGCCCAGCTTGAATAATAACTCATTAGATACAAATTAGCAACAATATAATTTTAAAGTCTCTACCCAAGATCATCAGGTATTGAGCCAATCCTAAATGAATATTCAAAAAGGAAAAAAGGGGGAAACCAGCCTCTGGGTTTGCCAGATCCATAGTGCTGGGCAGGAAAAGAATGGTAAAATTTTAAAGTTCACAGAGAATTTTTCTGCTGTGCTAGTCACAAATCAAATTCAACTATAATTTTTGCATCTTAAGCGTTAGAGGTTTTTCCCTTCCTTGTAACTAGAGGCCAGGTGATAGTGGTTAACATGAAACAAGAAAAGGTGTAGGAAGAGGGATCTTCTATTTTTGTAGGTACCAGTCTGTGCAGAGCTATTCTCCCCTGCAAACAGTAGTAGGAGAAAAAGCTGTTAAGGCATGTTCAAGTTAAGAAGGACAGAGGACTCACTGACTGAGTTGACCCACCATCATACAGGGATGGCCAGAGCCATGTCAGCGTCTGATTGCTCTTCCCATAGCAGAGAAGACAGGATGGCATAGTGGAGAGAATTTTTGTTTGTTTGTTTTGGTGCCAGGGATTGAACCCTGGGGCTTTAACCACTGACCCACATCCCCAGCCCTTTTTGTTATTTTTTGAGACAGGGCCTCACTAAGTTGTTTAGGTCTTTACTAAGTTGCTGAGGCTGGCTTTGAACTTGTGATCCTCCCACTTCAGCCTCTGGAGCTGCTTGGATTATAGGAGTGTGCCAGGATGGTGCCCAGTGAGAATTGGTCTTTATTGATAGTGGGGTTGGAACTTTTTTCTCCAATTAGATAAAACTAGCTTCTCTCCAGGTCCAGCATTACCATTATTAGCTACATGAATTTGGGCAAATTACTTAATCTTTCTAACCTTAGTCTCCTGTTATGAGAAATGGGTTAACAACTTCAGCTTATTATAAGACAGACTGTGGAAATTTAAACAATTCCTATAAAGCATAGATCTCAGTTTCTAGAACTTAGAAGTTCATTAGAAGTCAGATTATTTTATCTTCCTGGGCAGTTTGAATTCTGCTGCTGATATGATGTTGAGTAAAATGTTTGCTTTTTGAAACTCCATTTCTATGTGGAAAGTAGAACTATGCTTAGGGATTAGATCAGTGGTCTAGCATTTGCTTACCTTGCACAAGACCTGGGTTAGATTCCAACCACCACAGGAAGAATAAGTGGGCCTAACTCACATTATATGAGATGCTTTAGATATTATTTAAAAAGACATGTCAAGCTCTCCTCTTTATCCTCTTCCTCCCTCTTATCTTCTGGTCAATATGAAAGATATTAGGAGAGGGAACAAGTGATGCATTTTAGCCTGTGTCTTTGTAGCATATCCGGCTTCTTGGAGAGGAGCAAGACTGAGATGACAGTAAGTGACCAAAAAAAAAAAAAAAAAAAAAAAAAAGCAGATAGATGAAAATCTGATAGAGCCAGGCTTGGTGGCATGCCTATGATCCTAGATACTCAGAAGGTTGAGGCAGACTGAGTCAGAAGTTCAAGACCAGCCGAACAATTTAGTGAGGTCCTGTCTTAAAAAATAAATAAATAAATAAAATAAAATTTAAAAAAAGACTGGAGATTTAACTTAGTGGTAGAGAATTTGCCTAGCATGCCTGAGGCCCTGGGTTTGATTCTCAGCACTGAAAAAAAAAAAAAGAGAGAGAGAGAGAGAAAGAAAGAGCATCATGTGAAGTGAAATAAAGAGTTAGTGCAGAATTAGAAATGAGAATCCTGCTGACCTCCAGGCCATTCGATACATCACTGTCAGAGTTATCTTACTAAAAATTGTGATCTTGCTTTTAAAAAATGCAATGGCTTACCATTGCTTCCCACAGAAAGTCTAATTGCATCAAAGGCCACCTCTGATAGGGTTTTGGCCTCCTCTCCAGGATTATTGGCAGTTGTCCCCCCATGTGTGCCCTTCCTAGTGGGGAAGGAGGGAAAGAAATTAATAAGAAAGTTATTATTGAAATAGAGTTGGCAGGGCTTAGGCAACTTGGCAAAAAATTAATTTCAGGTGGAGGAAGGAGAGTGATGAAATGAGAGAAAGAGAAGTCACAGATGACAGTAAGCTTTTTCTTTTTATCAGATAGTAAATTAATTCTGGCGGCAGTGAGTTCAGAAAAATGCAAGCATCCCCTGACTTGATGGTCGTCAATTCTAACAACTGATGATAACATGCATCATAAATATTATAGCAGGAAAAAAAAAGAAGCATTGTTCATATGACACATTTTTATTTTAAAAACAGGTATGGAAAGCTTTTACGATTTTCTTCATTCAATAAATAACGTTTGAGAACCTAATGCATGCTTGGCATTCTAGAAACTGAAGCTACAACAGAATAAAATAAAATCCCTTCCTTCCTATGACTTACTTTCTAGCTGAAGGAGTCAGAAAACAAATATACTAAATTGCTTAATTCTGCAGCATGCTGGTAGATGATACAGGCAATGGCTACAAGATACAGAGGGAAAAGAGAAATCAGGGTTGCCAACTGAGTAAGGTAGAGGCTGGCATTTGAAACAGGTAGGTTGGAGAACCAGGCGTGGTGGCACATGTCTGTAATCCTAGTGACTCAGGAGGTTGAGGCAGGAGAATCTGCAAGTTTGAAGTCAGCCTCAGCAGTTTAGCAAGACCCTCAGCAACTTGGTGAGACCCTGTATTTTATTTTGTTTATGAAAAAGGGCTGGGGATATAACTCAGTGGTAAAGCATTCCAGGTTTAATCTCCAGGACAATAAAAATAAAAAAAAGATAAAAAATAGGAAGGAGGGAAGGAAGGAAGATGTTTTAGTTTTTTCACTAAAAAGTAAAGAATAAAGAAATAAAGAGTTAAGAATAAAGAAATAAAGAGTAAAGAATCCAACCAGAACAATTTTAGAGGATGAAAAGTTTATTTGAGAGCTCACAGTTTCAGAGGACTTAGTCCATAGAAGGCTGGCTCCATTCCCCACAGATTGAGGTGAGGCAGGACATCATGGTGGAGGGAATCAGCTCACATTGTGATCAGAGAGCAAAGAGAGAAAGACTTCACACTCCAGATACAAAGTAAATACCTTGTAGCCATGCCCCCAATGAACCACTTCCTCCAGCCACACCCCATCTGCCTCTAGCCACCTCTCAGTTAATCCCATCAGGGATTCACTGATTAGGTTAAGTCTGTGGCCCAATCATTTCTCCTCCAAACCTTCTTACATTGTCTCACACATGAGCTTTTGGTGAACACTTCACATCCAAACCATAACAGAAAAGGAGCAAGTTGATTGGTGAGAGTAGATCACTGAGAAGACAACATATAAGAGAATGACTTGAAGGAAGGGGAGCAAGGAGCCCTGTGACTCTCTAAGAAAGACTGTCCCTAACAGGGAGAAGAGCTGGTGTGAATATTCTCTGGGGGAAGCGTGCCTGATGCATACAGAACTCTCAATAGGCCTGTGAAGTGGAAACCTAGCAAGAAAAGGGGGATGAATTCAGAAGGCCTTGGAGAGAGAGGTGGCAAAAGGGAGGGCTTCCAGAACACTGTGAGGAATTCTGCCTTTGTTCTGAGGAAAATGGAGACCATCACTGGGTTCCTTGTAGATTTCTAAAGGATATTGTTGATAGCTTCTTGAAAACAAACAGTATGGGGTAGAGGCCAGAAGCAGGGAGATGAATTGAACTGAGGAGGCAATTGCAGGAATCCAGTGAAAAAATGTTGCTGATTCCAGGTAGGGTGGCAGCAGAGGAGCGGGTGAGAAGTGGTCAGAAATCAATGTGCGTTTTCAATAGGAAAACAGAAAAAAATAAGATGGTATATTGTCAGTCCATTCAGGGTGCTATAGCAAAATACCACAAACTGGTGGCTTATAAATGAAGCAGATCTACTTGTCACTATCTTGGAGGTGGGGCCGTTCAGAATGAGGGCTGGCATAGTCACTGTCTGGTGAGGGTTGCTTCTTCACAGGTGTTTTTCTCTTGGGCCTTTTTTATAAGGATGTGAGGATTTCAACCGAAGAATCTTTTTTTTTTTTTGCTTTTGGTACGGGGGATTGAACCCAGGGATGCTTAACCAAAGAGCCACATCCTCAGCCCTTTTTAAAATATTTTATTTAGAGACAGGGACTCACTTGTGTAGGGCTTCCCTAAGTTGCTGGCTTTGAACTCATGATCTTCCCAGGACTACAAGCATGCACCACCACGCCTGGCACAACATAAGAATATTGAGGACACACAAATGTTTAGACTATTGCATGTTCCATAGCTCTGTGGTCACAAGAACTAGGGGAATACAGTCCTACTCACTATATCCCCTTTAGTTCCTTTTGTGTGTGTGTGTGTGTGTGCGTGTGTTGCTAGAGATTTAACCCAGAACCTCACCATGCTAGGCAAACACTCTACCACTGAACCATACACCCAGCTCTTATATCCCTTTTCTTGAAAGTCAAAATAAACATTAGCATATAATTAAGGCTTTGTCA